TTTTTTTGTCTTTTTGAGACAGGGTCTCCCTGTAGCTCCAGCTGTCCTGGAACTCACTTATGTAGACCAAGCTGACCTTGAACTCACAGAGAGCCACCTGCCCTGCCTCCCCAGCTCAAATATACCTTTTATAATCCTTATAATTGTCCAATTTAAATTACACTTTTTTTCCCGCATTTTGTCTGTTTTTTAGATGGGGTTTTGCTGTGTAGTCCCAGCAGGTCTGGAATTCAATATGTAGATCATGCTGATCTTTAACTTGTGGTGATTCTGTGCCTTTGGCTCCCAAGTGCTGGAATTACAGGCATGCACTGCCATACCTGGCCTTAAATTTCACTCTTGGCAGCCATGGCAAGAAGAGAAGCACATCAGAACTTTAAAACTTTCATTAGTCATCATGTAAAGCAAGCATGTTTACTTTGGGAGACAGACAAATTTGAAGCATGAGTTCTCCAAACACCATGGAGCTGGTTGGTGTTTTAACAGGTTAACCTAAGATACAAAGATGTTTTCTAGGTGACTACAAAAGAATATACACTACCACCAACTTGAATGACCATAGCTGAATCATGTGGTTAGGCTGTGCCTCAGTTTCCCCAACTCTAAATTGGGGATAAAATCCTACCTCTCATGGCTGTGTAAGAACCAAATACATGGTGCCTGTGAATCTCTGGGAAAGATGAGCTTCTACACAAATGTAAACTGGTCTGACCACACTCGGAGCCAGCCAGCCCCTCAGTGCCCTGGCTCCGGGGATGGCACATGCTGGTTTTACTCATTGGTGTCAAATAGAAGGCCACAAGAGAATCTGAACCAGCCTGCTCACATTTTTTAAAAATTATAGCAGAAATTAGGAAAATTGTATATATCATTTTAAGTGGCTTTTGTATGTTTTTTTGCTGGGGACCAAATCACAGCCTAGTGCATGCTAGGCAAGCATTCTACCACTGGACCACATTTCCAGCATCTAGATGGTTTTTATTTATTATTTTTGAGACAGGGTCTCATACAACCTTCGTTGACCTCCAGCTCACTATGTAATCCAAGGATGACTTTGAACTCCTGATCTTCCTGTTTCCATCTCCATAAGCATTTGCCACCAGCCCTGGGACGTTCACAATGTTGTATATCTCCAGAACTTTTTCATGGCCCCAAACTAAAACACTGTACTCCTAAACAATGACTCCCAGTCCCACCTCTGCTCTACCTTCTTCTTCCTGAACTGGCCTGTTCCAGGTACTCATGTAGCTAGAATCCTGCATTCATCCTTTGTCTCATCCCTTTCTGTTTGACATGAAGAATCAGGCCCAGGAAGGGCATACTGCTTGTCTAAGACCTACAGCAGGGCAGAGACATAGCCAGGACCAGATCCCAGAGCTCCCGGCTCCAGGAAGGTTCTACACCCATTGTGAACAAACCCCACCTTAGGGTTTTGACTGAGTCCCCTTCTCTTTGGGGCTGTTTGCTTCCCACCTCTCACCATCCTCTCTAGTATCATCAACACAGCTTCTCCTCCCCGTTTCCACTTCTTAGTTCCTGCCACCAGATGGAGTAGCCCTGACCTTGGGCCAGCTTTTCTTTTGGGGGTCCCTGGGTTTCCTAAAGCACCAGCCCTCAGCCATCCCATGTCTTCTTCATCACTCCTCCGTCATAGATTTTCCTGTAACCTCAGCTACCACCTTTCTTCTCTCCCAAGCTCATACCCCATCCCGTCAGGAAACTGCCATGTCTATCACCCAAATCTGAGGTGCTCTCTAGTGGTATCCTGGCTTTCTGTGTTCATTCCCTCACACCAAAAGGCACCTCCTTTTCCTCCACGCATCATGCATCACCAACCCTTCCAGCCCTTCTCATCTTCCCTGTCCACAGTCTCCCAGAAGCACCCACAGCACCTTCCATGGGGACTGTGTGGTGGCCATGGACTTGCATTTTGCCTCTGGGCCTCCTTTGCTCTGCCCACTCCTAGATGACCTTGGTATAAAGCAGGTATAGCCTGGCTCAGGTTCTTCTTTCCCTCTCTTTGATCTTGTGTCCATCTCTCCACCCCTTTTATTCTCTGGGCCTCACCACTTCCAGATCAGGTCATCCTAGTAGAACCTGTACTTCATCCTCCTGAACCAACAGCATTTGCAGTTGTAGAATCCAGACTTAGTGTCCAAAGGTCACTGAGGACATGATGATGGGCCATAGTCCCTGCTCAGGGCTTCTCTACCACCTGGCCTGTACCTCCCTTCCTCACCTTCCTGGGACCCTCCTCTTCCCTCTGTCTTATTCACCCTGCTCCCCACTGTCTGCCTTCACTAGCTCTCTGGACTCCAAGGAAAGGGGCTTTGTTTTCTTCTGAACATCCTGGAAAGGCTAAGGCTAAGCCGCTCCCATGAAGAGGAACCTAAGCTATCTGGGAAACCTAAGTCTGGGCCTCCCAGTTTTATGGTCGTCTCTGGAGCACCAGACTGACTCTAGAGGCCTCGAGCATCCTTTGTGTTTTGGGGTCCAATAGCGCCCACTGGGCCCTGGCACCCCTGGTTTCTCTCTTGGCTCTGCCGCTGATCTCCGTGCCTTAGTTCTCTGCACAGGGGAAGAGGGGGGCTCACCACAACACCATTCTTAGCATCTTTCCAGATCCTTTGGTGTCTCTACAACTGGGCATGGCCAATAAGACCTGTTTATGGGTACCATGTTGCCAAGGCAAGTTAGGGGTACCACTGGCAACTAGTGTTCTCCAACTGTCCCAGCAGCAGAAGCATTGTAAGGAAAGTTGACAGAAGTGCAGATTGTTGGTCTTATTCAGGACCCACTGGATTAGAACTTTTGCAGCAGAGCCAGCAAGTTAGGGTTTGAAAAAGTATGATTACACATAAAGTTTGTTAACTGCTTGCCTAGACAAGCCATCAGTATAGCTTGGGGAAGAACTGGGGGTGGCCTGTGCTAAGTACAGTGGAAAACACAGATTCAGGGTTTTTCCTAAAAAGAGGAAACAAAACCACTCACCCCTGTGGTGTCTCTTCCCAGAAGCTGGAGGGCCAGAAGCAGGCCTGCAGCTTTCCTGTCCCTGCCCCTGGCTCCATTTCAGCCCAGCTCACTAGCCCCCATTAATCTGAGTTTTCAAAAGGGCTTTACAGGTGGTGACAGCAGGGGAGGCAAAGGACCCTGTTATTTAACCCTTGGGACCTTCACCATAGCCAAAGGGCCTGTCTCCCTTTGGAAAGAAACCTAATGCCACAAGGAGAAAATCCCAAGTCCTCTCACCACCAATATCCCCCATCTTCTTGTCCTCCTAACCCCAGGGAAACCTTGTAGACAGTGCCAAAAACCGGCTTTAACCCCAGCACCTGGGAAAGAGCCAGAAATTGCCCTTCTTCCTTATCCTGATTCCCCTTTCCCCTTCCCAGCCTGGTCAGTACTGTGAAGCCCCTTCCTGCTCAGCCTGGTTTCCTGGCGAGGGCCCTGCAGCTGTGGGCCCTGGGAGAACCCTTGGGAAGGAAGGGACCAAGGGCATCCTTGGGCCAGCAGTCCACCTTTCTTCCACTATTCTCTCATCTTCCTCAGTTCTGTCTTCAAAGGCTCCTTCCCAGGACAGATTGGGCGCTAGGAGGACCACAGCCTAGTCCACCAGCTTGCCCTGCCCTGTGTCTTATTTCAGACACAAGACTGTACAGTGTAAACTTACAAAGCGTTTTTAATGGTTGTAGATTGAAAATAAAATATGTCATATGAACAGTTGCCTGTTTGCTCTCTGCCTTTCCCTGGTGAGTCTGGTGGGGCCCCAGCAGATTTGAAACCTGACTCCATCCCACCTGGGGTTGCCTAGGAAGAAGGAAAAAGCTGCAGCCAGCTGGCTGGTTTGAAGTCACCTACGCCCCCAGTTGTTCTTTCATGGCTGATAACTGTCTCCCAGGAAGCATGTCACCACCACTGAGGAATAAATGCAGAGCACTCCAGGAGAAAAATAGAACCAAGCTTTTCTATAACACTTAGTATAATTTATTATAATGAGGGGGAAAAGATACTTTAGACACTGTAGTGGAATTAATCATCCCAAAAGTTGTATCATATCCCACCAGTGCTGTGGGCTGGGAATTTGGGAGCTGGACAGATCTGATAGGATCTCTTGGAGGCTTGCAGTCAGATGTCAGTTAGGTTACAGGTGTTTGCCCCTTTGTGTATCTGGGGATGGAACCCAAGGTCTTGTGCATGTTACATAAGCTTTCTGACACTAAGCTACAAGCCCAGCCAGTGTACAGTTACCTCTCTCCCTGACCAGGGCTTAAAGATCCATTTGTAAAGTAGCTAATTCACATACCTGGCAAGTCAGTGCTGCTGTCAGGACTGAAACTCAGTCCCTCAACAGTAAAGAAGCTTATGAGTTCTCATAGTTTCACAACTAGCAAGTGATCCATGAGTGAGCAGGGTAGAAATCAAAGTCTTTTAAGGCTAACCCTTAAAACCTTAAAAGTTACACATTGTAGCCAGGTGTAGTGGCGCACGCCTTTAATCCTAGCACTTGGGAGGCAGAGGCAGGCAGATCTCTGTGAGTTCAAGGCCAGCCTGGTCTACATAGTTCCAGGACAGCTGGGGCTACAGACAGACCCTGTCTCAAAAAGACCAAAAAAATTTTTTTTAAAAAGTTACACATTGTGATTTCTACAATATCTTATTAGTTACATAAACTAGCTCTTTTCAGTGTAGGAGGGAGGGGAGTAAACATACACATGAACACTAGGAAATGGGTCATTAGGGTCCATCTTGGAAGCTTCCTACCACATACTTTCATAAATTTTCTCTTATGAGGGACTAACATCAGCTGGGCCTGTGCTAGATATAGAAGATATATTAGATGGAAAATAGGGTATCAAATATTGGCGCTGGAGAGATGGCTTAGCGGTTAAGAGCACTGGCTGCTCTTGCTGAGGACCCAGGTTCATTCCAGCACCCACATGGCAGCTAAGAACTGTCTGAAACTCCAGTTTCAGGGGATCCAAAGCCCTCTTCTGACCTCCACGGGCATTGCAGGACACAGGTGTACCTATCTACATGTAGGCAACACACTCATACACACACAAAAATTATCAAATATTAAATGTGTAAGGAGGGAGTCTAGGGGAAGCAGGACAAGCCTCACCAAGATGGGGCTGTTTGAACTGACACCCAAAGTTGGGGTATTGATCAGACCAAGGAAGTGGTAATAACTAAGCAGGAGACAGGGAGATGGTTCAGGTTTCATGCTTGAAAGACTTAAAAAGAAGCAAAATCAGGAAAGTGGTACAAGCTTGTAATTCTAGCACTTCAGAGGGAGAGTCAGAGGATCAGAAGTTCAAAGTCATCCTTGGTTGCACATTAAGTTTGAGGCCAGCTGGACTACATGAGACCCTGTCTTAAAAGACCCAGAAAGGGGGAGAGGGAGAGAATATGAATTAAAGAAATGCAAGTTGGATGTCAGTGGAATGGGGAATGATGGAAAGAGGCTGGGTCAGATCACATTGCCTCATAAGGAAAGAATTTGTATACATCGTGTTGTCAGGAGGGAGTCATGGGAGAACTCAAAGCAAGAAAAGGACATGGTCAGAGGATTACTGGGTCTGGATTCTGTGAGTCAGTGGTAAATGTGCCCCAGGGTGGCCAGCACAGACTGGGAGTACTGAGTTTTGTCCTTTGGACATCAACACAACAGGTGCTGAAGGATGAAAGAACCGATAGAAGGAACTGCGCCCCAGAAAGTGATAGGCAGGGAACCAAGATTAACCTCTACTTTTAGATGGCTGTAGAAGCCAGCAGGTCAGATGGCAGGGTGGAAATTTTATGAAGCCACCTTTCACCAAAAAACTTAGAAGGGACCACAGCTGAGGTGGAAGGGTGGCCACAGTCATGCCCAGTACCTGTCTCCTGCTCTTCTTTGGGACATTTTGGACTGCTCTCAGTTCCACATTCACAGGTTTCAGATCTGAAAGAAATGACTGAACTCATGCATGACATTTTGATGGCTCCATCACCTTGCCTTGAGAAAGCAGCCTGCTTAGTGGATCCTCTCAGGCTATCAAAGGTGAGCGGAGCAGGCACAGGCTGGCTTGGAGCGGAGAAGGCTAGGAGCAGGGAAAGGCTTTCCAGACAGCATGATTTGAACAAAAACCAGGAGCAAGAATCAGCGCGGGATGGGCCAAGGAGCTGGGAGAGGTTTGGGGAGGGTTGGCCTGTGACGGGTCTGGAAAGGGGAGGGCTTGAACCTTGCTACACTTGCAATGAGAGGAGTCCGGAGGAGCAGGAGTTGGTAGGCAGGGGACCGACCCGGCACAGAGTTCCAGTTATTCTGGAGAAGTCACTGTCCACATTTGGGATTAAGGAGATAGAGGAGGGACCATGGCCTGGAGCAAGAGTTTCTTTCTGGACTTTCATAGGCAGGCTTTGGGCCCCTGGGGTGCGAAAAGTCACTAGCAGACAGTCGGAGAGGGAAATCCCCGGGGACAAGGTGGGCGGGGCGGGCGGGAGCGGAGGACAGCAGTGTACGCATGCGCTCCGCCGGAGGCGCCAGGTCTACGCCGCGCTGGCCGCGCACGCGCAGTGAGTTGGCGGGAGTTTCGGAAGTAGCGGGTGTGATCCGGAACCCGGAGCTGAACTAACAAGAGGACCCGTTGTGGTGGCTCCCGGTGTCTACAGGTGACTTTTCCCCGAATATGACCGCTCCGCCCCTCCGCCGGGCCCAGCCCCGCGCTTCCGGTGTTCCCATCTGCGGGGCCTCGGGGCGCAGCAACTTCCTCTGGGTTGGTTGGACATCCGAGGGAGGGCCACGCCTCCTACTCCGGAGGCCTAGACTTCAGAAAAGTGTCGGGGGACCAGCGGGCCGGGAAGGCTTCAAGTCACTGCCCCTAAGCTGGCTGCGGAAGGAGGTTGGGTCTCCAGATGGAGGAACAGCACTTAGAGCTGTGGAAAGTATTAAATGGGTTGACGTAATGAGGCGTTTATGTGGCACAGGCCCACAAGCATTGAAACGACTTGTTAACCAAGCTTGAGCTGGTGTGGTGCAGTCGTAAAGGTTGTGGCGATTTAGGTCCTTGAAGGTCCTTCTTTGTTCTGTTACCTTTCAGTGCTCTTTCAGCATCTCTTCATTTCTCTTTACTAAGCAGCCCCACATGCAGATGCCTGTTGGGAGGGGGAGGCAGCATGCAAAATGGAAAGATGCCTGACCTGCCCCCTTCAAGGCATTTGTCTGTGACAAGTGCTAGGAATGCAGTGATATTTCACTGGGGAGCCAGACGTGTAAATTGGTTTTACAGCCTGTAGGAGAGAGAAAAGGTGTTTGGCCGTCCGTTTTGTCAGAGAAGTGACTTCTCATTTAAATGACGTTGGGAAGGATGTGTCTGTTTTATGGGTAGGACAAAGACGTACAAATATTCAAAATTAGAACCAAGAGTTAGAGTAGAGTGGCAGGACAGCTTATGAAAAGTGGTGGACATGCAGGGGACATTTCTGCAGGTGTCTAAAAGTGAAGTGGATCCCAGCAGTGTCAGGTGTTGAAGAAATTTCAAAGTCTAGGGGCAGAAAGTGAAACCTGAACTAGACTAAAACTGGGGATGGAGGAAAGATTTGGAGACTTTAGAATTTTGGATTGGAGAGCTAAGAATAAAAATAAAGATGGGGGTGCTGAAGAGATGGTTCAGTGGTTAAGGGCACTGGCTGCTCTTGCAGAGGACCTGGGTGGATTCTCAGCATTCAAACGGCAGCTAACAACTGTTACTCCAGTTCCAGGGGAATCCAATACCCTTTTCTGACCTCCTCGGGCATTGCATGACATGGGTGTACTTATATGCATGCAGGCAATACACTCATACACATAAAAAATAAAAATGATAAATGATAAAAAAGGATTTTTTTTTCTAGTTTGGAGAACAAAGTAGACCCTAATGCCATCAACTGAATTAGGGGTTAATCATAAAGTGCTTGGAAGCTAAGATAGGGTTTGTGTAATAAGTTCTGTAGACAGTGACCCCTCTGATATTCTTTGTGGAGGACGGGAGTGAGGGCAAGTTCTGAGAGTCTGGAAAACATAGGATCTTGGGGGTAATGAAGCCCAGTGAGACTGGTGCTGAGATGTGAAGAACAAGGGTCTCATTTTCCTATTTCAGATTCTCTATCCAGGATGGCTTCAGTGACAGGATCAGAAGGTGAGTTTTAAATGGTGAAATTCAGTTTCTCTTGGCTCCGGTTCTGGCTTCTGAACTATCACAAAATCCTTTTCTGTTTCCTGGTAGATTTGGAATCATGTATTTGTATGGTCACAGAAATGCTTCCTCAGTGTTTCCATGACCGGGGAAATGGATTTCCCTCCTTCCTCCTCTCCTGCCTCAGGCTCCTCAGCAGCTGATACTACAGATGCATGTCACCTCCTGGGGCATGTATTTTCTATTTTCCACTTTTTGTGCAGATATTTATTTGTGGTGGGTTTGATTTTATATTTTTGATTTTTCTATAACAAATACTAGAAGAGGAACCAGTGATGTCTGAGGCTCATGATCAATTGCCATCAAGTCTCAACAGTGTGGAAGTGTTTGCCAAGTCCTCTGCTGCCCCAGAGATGACTGAAGACATTTCTAAGGACAGAAATCAGCTTGGCTGTAGTCCTGAAGATGGGGAAAGTTGTGATGCCAGCCACCAGGAAGGACTTCAATTGAGGTCATTTTGTTTGTCCCCTCAAGAACAGTCTGTCTGTCATCAAGACAGGAGGCAGTCCTGGCGACGAGCAAGTATGAAGGAAGTAAACCGACGGAAGTCACTGCCTCCCTTTCACCAGGGCATCACAGGTGGGGTGCTGTGTGCATAAACGGTGGGATTCCAGCTCAAATGAGAGACAGAGAAGAAGGAATGGCAGAAAGTGTATCAGAATAAACGGGACTGTCTACATTTTAGCTATGCAGCTTTGAACAAATCCCGTTTGAGCCTCAGTTTCCTTACCTATAAATGACGATAGTACTACCTACCATGAGGGGATGTTCTGTGTTTATAGTTCTGATATCACACACCTCATCAGTGTTGAGTATTATTGCTGCTTACATCATATTAGCTGCCATGAGCAGCTATTCTGATTGAAAATTGGTTTAATACTTCATCCTAGTTAAAATAACAGGAATTAGAGTCTTTCCTTTGACTTCCTGTTTTGTATCCTAAAGTAGAACAGAAGGTAGGTGGTACCTACCTGAGCTGATACCTACCTGATTCTAGGATTCTAGCCTTTATAACTGGAAATGACTCAAAAGATGTACATAAAAATACCCAGGGGCTAAGAGAGAGGGCTCAGGAGTTAAGAGCACTGACTGTTCTTGCATTAGACCTTGGTTCAAATCCCCACACCACATGGTGGCTAACCACAGTCTGTAACTCCAATTCTAGGGAATCCAACACCCTCTTCTGTCCTCTGTGGGCACTGCATGACATGGGTGCACTTACATACGTGCAGGCAATACACATACACATAAAGTAAAAATAAAAATTAAAAAAAAAAAAACTTAAAGTGGCAATGGGTAGAGTGCATACTTAGTGTACATGAGGCTCTAGGTTCAATCTTGAACACCAAAAAAAAAAAATGGATAGTTTTTAGGAATGTCATATTTGAACATAATTTGTGTGATTTTTGCCTGAATATATAATCCTTAACCATGTCATTCACCATCAAATTGCAGGATAATGTGGAAAGTCTAGTGTGATCCTGTGCTTAAACCTCCTTTGTCTTAAAGTCCTTCTCAGTGAACTGGGGGTGAAATAGTACCTTTCTTGCAGGATTGTATAGGAATTAAGAGTTGATACATAACTAGTATGTATATGCCTACTTGGTGTATTAGCAAGCCCGCCAGGGTTAACTATTGTGATTACTTGTAAGGTATTAGTCATTGTTACTTGCAGGTTATTGAATGGGTAAAAGGAAATCTGAGTAAAAACAGCCAAGTCAGAAAACTGCTGCCATAGTGCCCACACACTTTACTCTAGATCCGCCACCCCCTAGTTCAACTCTACCTTCATCTCCATTCCAGAATATTTAGACTTAAAAAAAAATCTGTGTCTGTGTAGCATGGAATCACCAATGTAGTAAGATTTATTATTTTTCTGGTTATGACTGGCTACCTGCCCAGTTTCCTTAGTCAAAGCCCGAAAGAATTTGATTAACAGCAGTAAGAATTAATCAAGAGATAGGGGTGCTTATTATTATTATTAATTTTTTTTTTTTTTTGGTCTTTTGGAAACTGTCTCCCCAAAGCCCCAGATGACCTGGAACTCACAGAGATCCGCCGGCTTCTGCCTCCCAAGTGCTGGGATTAAAGGCATGCACCACCACGCCTGGCAGGCAAAATAGGTGTGTCTTTAAAACACAGCCAACTATTGGGCTGGAGAAATGGCTCAGCCGTTAAGAGCACTGACTGCTCTTGTAGAGGACCTGGGTTCAATTCCCAGCACCCACATGGCGGCTACAAACGGTCCTTAACTCCAGTTCCAGGGGAATCAGAAGCCCTCTTCTGACCTCCGCGGCATTGCATGACATGGGTGCACTCACATACATGCAGGCAATACACTTGTACATATAAAATAAAATAATAAATACAGTATTTAAAACACAGCCAATTAAAGCTGAAGAGCAAGAATTCTTGAAACAAACTTCTTTGTAGTGTAATTGTTTTTAAATGAACTTAATTGAGAAAAATGCCTTTTATATAACAGATGTTCAGCTGGTGCTGGCTGTTAATGTGAATTCGACCAACCACAGGCAGCGTGCTGCTAGGAGGAAAAACACATCTTGACGTACTTGAGTTTGAAACATGGCTTTTTCAGTCTGTCTTCAGACAGATTATAAGAAAACATTTTTTTTTTTTTCCCCTTCAGTGCTGACAATTAGACTCAGGGCCATGTGCATGCTAGGCAGGGGTTTAGCCACTGACCAACAGCCCAACCCCTAGAAAAAGACTCTTAGGACAGTGTATTTAAAACACATTGTAGTGCCTGTTATAAAAATGTCATCTCTTTTCTTTGAATGGTGAATATCAAGCATAAGAAGGGTTAAGTTATTCAGCTGGCCTAGAACTCACTATGTAGACCAGGCTAGCCTCAGTCTCACAGATATCTGCCTGCCTCTGCCTCCTGAGTGCTATGTTTTGTTTTGTATTTAATTAGTGTACAAAGTAATAGGTTTCATTATGGTTTTTTCAATATACCTTGAAATCTTAACAAAACAAATTTTAATGTAATAATATGAAAAGGTTTTAATAATATTTTTGAAAATTTGGATGCATAAAAGTGTAAACTTTATTCTTTAGTGAGCCTGGAAAAATTAGAATTCTCTTTACTCAGAAAGGACTGCTTTTTGCCCTAAGCTGGAGTACATGAAAAGGGAAGACATTTTTCAGTTTCGTTATTCTGTAACTGTAAGTGTGATGTTTTTAATTGTGATATTTTATGTCAGAGCTCAGCAAGTCCATCAGTGTGAACTTAGCGGAAAGCAAACGGCTTGGCGTCCTCCTGCTGTCCAGCTTCCAGGTGAGACTCAGGTTTGGGATGTGCTTTCATTTGGTGTTGTATGTTGTATGACAACTGCAAAGAGAAAGTAGTTAATTCGATGTGATGAGCTGAGTAAAAGATGCTTCCTTATGATTGGGGTTAATCTAAAAGCCAGATACCCTCCCAGCAACTGAATTTTCTTGTGACTGCACTCCATTGTTACTGCTGCTGCTAACCAGCAGCCAGTAGATTTTTCCCAATATCTTTTGCCCATTGGCAACAAGTGAAGAGAGTTTAAAATGGGTAGAGGTAAATATCAAAGTTATGATGGACGTTTGGAGTCTAACTGCATGGTAACCAGTGCATGAAACATGTTCTATATATTTTATTTTTTAAATGTGTATGTTGCCTGCATGTATATAAGTACACCCATGCATGCAATGCTCGTGGAGTTACAGATTTTTTTAGCCTCCATCTGAGTGCTGGGAATGGAACCCAGGTCCTCTGCAAGAGCAGCCAGTGCTCTTAACTATTTCTCCAGGGCCTATAAATTTTTTTTTTAATTTTTAGTTTATGTGTATGTGTGTATTGCTTGCATATAGGTAAGTGCACCCATGTCGTGCAATGCCCATGGAGGACAGAAGAGGCTGTTGGATCCCCTGGAACTGGAGTTAATGGAAGTTGTTAGCTGCCATGTGGGGATTTGAACTTGGGTCTTCTGCAAGAACAGCCAGTGTTCTTAACCGCTGAGCCATCTCTCCAGCCCCATAAATTTTTTTAAAAGTTGTGTTTATTGTGGCTTATTGGTACTCATGGCCATTTAGATAATTTGTGTGACTTAAATGACCATTTTACCCGAGTTAAAAATCAAAATGTATAGTCTGAGCAGCAAAGAGTGTTTTCCTTATCTGTTTGTTTACATGAAGTATTAGGTGAAAAAGAATTAAACCATGTAATTTTGTCTTACAATTCATCATGAACTCATAAAATCCCATGAAGTCTGAGCTTGTCTAGAAGATTTTGGTGGTTGTACTGAAAATGTTCTTTTTTATTTAGTTCTCTGTTGAAAAACTTGAACCTTTCCTGAGGGACACTAAGAGCTTCAGTCTGGAAGGTTTTAGAGCAAAAGGTGAGTTGCTAAGAGTAGAGAAGTGCTTTGACCTTGGCCTTTACCCTCTTTTGGAGTCAGTAGGGATATTTGCAATGCATCCCCCCCAACCTTTTTCAATTTTATGAGTATGGGTGTTTTGCCCACATGAATATAAGTGCACCCATGTCATGCAGTATCCACAGAGGCCAGAAGAGGACATCAGATCCTCTGGAACTGGAGTTAAGGATGGTTGTTAGATATCATGTGAGTGCTGGGAACCAAACCCGGGTCCTCTGCAAGAGCAACCAGTGCTCTTAACCACTGAACCATCTTTCCAGCCCCTGCAATATCCTGTTTTATAGGAGCTTCTGCTTCATTAAAATCAGCTCCCTTGTTTTAAAAATTTTGGTTATGTATGTGTGTAATACACTCTGTCTCTCTCAGTCACTGTCTCACACACACACACACACACACACACACACACACACACACGGCAACTGTGACTACCAGTTGAAAAGAAAAGATATTTATTCTTTCAAGTACTCATTAGAATTATATGAGTACACACTCTGTTTTGTTCTATCTTTCCCTGGTGCTTGGACCAAATCATAGGCATTGTTCATGCTGGACAGTCATCCTCCTTTTTTTTCTTTGTATGTTTGTGTGTAAATATTCTTGTTTATGTACCACAACCCAACTGTAACTTTTTTTTTTTTTGGTCTTTTTGAGACAGGGTTTCCCTGTAGCCCCAGCTCTCCTGGAACTCACTATGTAGACCAGGCTGGCCTTGAACTCACAGAGATCTGCCTGCCTCTGCTTCCCCAGTGCTGGGATTAAAGGCATGTGCCACCACGCCTGGCTTTTTTTTTTTTTTTTTTAATTTTTACATAAACTTTATTGAGAATTTCATACAGGCATATGAGGTGTTTTGATCAAATCCATGCCCACTCCTTCCCTCCAACATTCCCCAAGGATTAGTTACAAGCTCCCAAATACTTTTGACATTTTTGCCCTTGGAACAGAGTATGTTGCTAACAGGCCCAAGAACATTTTGACTTTTAGCCAAGAAACTGGCTACATTTCTTTGGGGTCTTTTTACCCTAACTCTCTAGCCAATTCCTACCTCCTATTCTTATGACACCATCCTCTGAAGGGGATACCCAAATTGCCAATAAGGAATAGGGACGCCGGCTGTTCTGGCTTCTTCCAATTCTGGCTTCTCCCGTGCTGAACAGGCATGCAGGGTGAGGCAACTGGAGTACCCCTTCAGTGGGTATATCTAAAAGACTCCCAAATCACATAACTTTTGTCTCTAAGGAGAGAAGAAAGTCCTTGAATCATGAATGGGAGATGTGAAGGAGAAGTAAAGGCAAGAGTAATTAGCATTACAAGTTCTAGACAGGGAACTAGAAAAAAGTCAGAACAGTCCATTGGAGTTTCTTGATAAGGGCTTCCAAAAGCATCCCTCTACTGGGTTCTTCCTCATTTTTCTTTTGTCTTCCCAACCATAACTTTTAAAAAACTCAATAGTTTACTTTAAAAAATAGTTTCAGACTGGGCATGGTGGCTCACGCCTTTAATCCCAGCACTTGGGAGGCAGATACAGGCTTATCTTGAGAGTTTGAGGCCAGCCTGGTCTACATAGTGAGTTCCAGGACAGCTGGGGCTATAGGGAGATCCTGTCACAAAAAAACAACAACAAAAAATAATAATAAAGCCTCACTGTCGTAGCCCTAGCTGTCTTAGAACTCACTATGTAGAGCAGACTGGGCTCAATGTCTTAATGATCCTCCTGCTTCTGCCTCCCATAATTGCTAGGATTGCAGGAGGTAGCTACCATGCCTGGCTAACCCTGAGAGTTTATCTTGAAAATTGATCCATATCAGATGGTACATTGACATTTTTGGTAGCCGTAACCCAACCTGACCTTGAACTCAATTTTCCTACCTCATTTTCCTGGGTGCTGGGGTTATAGGTATGTGCTGTCATGTTGGCAATATTCCCTTATATAAATATTTGATTTAACCAGGTTTTTACTGGTGGCCTTTTAGATTAGTGGGTTTTTTTTAAATTTATTTTATTTTATGTGTCTGTTTGCCTGTGTGTATATAAGTGCAGCCATGTCATGAAATGCCTGTGAAGACCAGAAGAGGGTGTTGGATCCCCTGGAACTGGAGTTATGGAAGATTGTTAGCTGCCACATGGGTGCTGGGAACCGAACCCAGGTCCTTTGCAAGAGCAGCCAGTGCTCTTATCCACTGAGCCATCTCTCTAGTTCCCTGGTGGTTTATTTTTTTTCCTGTCTTTTGTTGATACAACGATTAGTATCATGAATACCTTTTTAAAAAAAATATTTTATTTATTTTTATTTTATGTGTATGAGTGTTATGTCTGCATGTAGGTAAGTGCTCCCGTGTCGTGCAATGCCCACGGAGGACAGAAGAGTCTGTTGGATCCCCTGGAACTGGATTTACAGACAGTTGTTAGTTGTCATGTGGGTGCTGGGATTTGAACCTAGGCCTTCTGCAAGAACAACCAGTGTTCTTAACCACTGAGCCATCTCTCCAGCCCCCTGAATACCTTTTTTTTTTTTTTTGGTCTTTTTGAGACAGGGTCTTCCTGTAGCCCCAGCTGTCCTGGAACTCACTATGTAGACCAGGCTGGCCTTGAACTCACAGAGATATGCCTGCCTCTGCCTCCTGAGTGCTGGGACTACAGGCGTGTGCCACCACACCCGGCCAGACAGGGTCTTCTGTAACTCAGGTTGTCCTCAAACTCACCATATAGTTGAGGATGACCTCAAACTCCTGACTTCTTGCCTCTATGTTTGGAATGCTGGGGCTATAGGCTCCCACTGTGACCACCATGCCTGGCTAGAGGATAAGATTTCTTTTCTTTCTTTTTTTTTAATTATTGAGAATTTCATACATGCATATAAGGTGTTTTGATCAAATCCATGCCCACTCCCTCCCCTCCAACTCCTCCCATATCTCCCCATCACTTTTTTCTTATAACTTCATGTACTCTTCTTTTTTTTTTTTTTAATGGGGCTTTTTCCTACTCTAACACTCCCCCACTCTGGAGAGGTAACCCTAAAATCTTTTAAGGATTAGATAAAAGCTTGAAAATACTTTCAACATTTTTGGCCTTTGGAACAGAGTATGTTGCTAAGAGGCCAAGGACATTTTGACTTTTAGCCAAGAAACTGGCTACTTTTTTGGGGGGTCTTTTTGCCCTAACTGCCTAGCCAATTCCTACCTCCTATTCTTACCACACCATCCTCTGAAGAGGTTACCCAATTTGCCAATAGGGAATCGGGATGCAGACCACTCTGGCTTCTTCATGCTGAACAGGGACTCAGGGTGAGGCAGTTTGGGTACCCCTTCAGTGGTTCTATCTAAAAGACTCCCAAATTGCCTAACTGTTATCTTTAGGGGGGAAAAGAAAGTCCTTGACTGGTGAATAGGAGATGTGAAGGAGAAGTAAAGGCAAGAGTAATTAGCATTATAAGTTCTAAACAGGGAACTCAGGGAACTAGAAAAAAAAAGTCAGAACAGGGCAATGTTCATATGAGAGTCCATTGGAATTTCTTGACGAGAGCTTCCAAAAGCATCCCTCTACTGGGTTCCTCCTCATTTTTCTTTTGTCTGCTAAGGCTGGACTCCAGAGTTGTGGATTCAGGATTTGCTTTCCAGTGTCTTGAGTTGCAGTGTTAGGGCACTTGTTTGGGCTCTTTCTAATTTTTTAATATAGGCACTTAGAGAGCTACAAACTTCCCTCTTAGAACTGCTTTTAAAGTGTCCCAGAGGTTGTATTGTGTTGCATTGTCCTTTTCGTTGAATTCCAGGAATTCTTTTATTTCTTTCTTAATTTCTCCTTTGACCCACTCATTGTTTAGGAGTGTGTTTAACCACAAGTTTGTGTAGTAACTAGGGCTTTGTCCAGTGTTGATTTTGAGCTTTATTGCATTGTGGTCTGATAGAATGCATGGAATTATTTCAGTATTTTTGTATTTGTTAAGGTTTATTTTGTGGCCCAGTATGTGGTTGGTCAGTTTTTGAAAAAGTACCGTGGGGTGCTGAGTAGAAAGTGTATTCTTTGGTGCTTAGGTGGAACATTTGAAAGATGTCTATTAAGTCCATTTTATGTATGGTATCACTTAATTCAGATGTCTCTCTGTTTATTCTTTGTCCAGTTGACCTGTCTAATGGAGACAGTGGGGTATTGAAATTCCCTACTATTACTGTGTCTTAAAGTCCTGTAGTGTTGTTTTTATGAATCTAGGTGCACCAGAGTTTGGTGCATATATGTTAAGGATTTTAATATCTTCTTGGTTAATTGTTCCTTTGATCAGACCCTCTTCTGATTAGTTTTACTTTGAAGTCTATTTTGTCATGTATTAGAATTGCAACCCCTGCTTGTTTCTTAGTGCTGTTTGCTTGGAATATTCTTTTAGTTTTTTTTTAGTTTTTTTTTTTTTTTGTATTTTTTGAGACAGGGTCTCCTTGTAGCCCCAGCTGTCCTGGAACTCACTATGTAGACCAGGCTGGCCTTGAACTCACAAAGATCCGCCTGCCTCTGCCCCCCAAGTGCTGGGATTAAAGGCGTGTGCCACCACGCCCAGCCAAGCTTGGAATATTCTTATCCATCCTTTTACCTTAAGGTAATAACCTGTCCTTGAATGTGAGGTGGGTTTCTTACAGACAACAAAAAGATGGATTTTTCTTTCATTTATTCATTTATTTTTTTTTAATTTTTTTAGAAGCATTTCATAACAGCTTTAACATAGTCAATAAGTTTCCAGAGCAAAGATACATCTCTTTCAAAAGTGGTTGTAAAATTTTTAAGTTCACTGTTGAATTAATACAGTTATACAATATTGAACTCAGTATAAGTCCTGTAAGCCAAAAAATTGACTTGAGTTTTTTTTTTGTTGTTGTTTTTTTCTTTTTGAGACAGGGTTTCCCTGTAGCCCCAGCTGTCTTGGAACTACTATGTAGACCAGGCTGGCCTTGAACTCACAGAGACCCACTTGCCTCTGACTCCCAAGTGCTGGGACTATAGGCGTGCGCCACCACACCCGGCTTTAGTGTTTTTTTTTTTTTTAATATTTTATTATTTTGATTTTATGTGTATGAGTGTATTGCCTGCGTGTAGGTCAGTGCACCCATGTCGTGCAGTGCCTACAGAGGATAAAAGGGATTGTCAGATCCCCAAGAACTGGAGTTACAGACAGTTGTTAGTTGCCATGTGGGTGCTGGGATTCGAACCCGGGTCTTCTGCAAGAACAGTGTTCTTATCTCTCCAGCCCCTGACTTGAGTTTTTAACGTTTAAAAAGATCTCTATTTCATTTTAAAATATACTGTTTCTTACAGAAAGACTCATTGTTTTTGCTACTAACACTAAGGTGTTGGCGCTTGCATCTCTAATCTGTGTGTATCTGATTATCACTAGTCATACCCCATTGCACTTGGATCCTTGGCGTCTGTATTTGTCTATAAAGTCATCGGGTAGATTTCAGTGGTATTGTTTATCACCTCTACTAATTAGCATGACGTAAATTTCCATGCTTCCTCCTCAAATATAATACATTTTTAAAAAATTTGTTGGTTTTGTGTGTGTGTGTGTGTGTGTGTGTATCACACAGAACATCCCAAACTGTCTCATTCGACTACACACCCACTTCCCAGATAGCACCCTCCCATAGCCTCCCTCTCCCCACTAAAGCCCTCATACTCTGATATCCCTGCTACTGTCTGCTATGTTGTCGGCACCCCTAGCTATTCCCACTACTTGCCCTTCTGGTGAATCTAGTCAGCCTATCTAGA